GGAGCATTGTTGGCGGTTTACATTACTTGGCTGTCACTCGTCCAGACATTCAGTATGCTGTTAATCGAGTGTCTCAGACTATGCACAACCCCACTGAGCAGGACTATCATGCCTTGCAACGCGTTCTGCGCTATCTCAAAGGCACTTTGAATCATGGTCTTCTTTTTCGCAAGGGGGGATTCGACCTATCTGTCTACTCTGACTCTGACTGGGCCAATGATAAAGATGATCGCAAGTCTACCACGGGCTACATACTCCTACTCGGTCCTAATATCATCTCTTGGTGCACGAAAAAGTAGACTCGTGTTTCTAGATCATCCACTGAAGCTGAATATCGAGCTATGGCTGCAGGGGTTGCAGAAGTTATGTGGCTTCGATATATCACTAATGCGCTGGGAATTCCTCCGTCCAAACCGAAGTTATACTGTGACAATGAGTCGACTATTTGTGTCACCAAAAATCCGGTTCTTCATGATCGCATGAAGCATGTGGGCACAGACTGTCACTTTGTACGAGATGAGGTTATGGCAGGCACTATGACTCCACATCATGTTTCCTCCTCAGAGCAGCTAGCAGACATTCTTACCAAACCGCTTCCGCCCGTTCCTTTTGAGTACTTATGTTCCAAGCTGCCCTCGTCTCCGTTGATCAGCTTGCGGGGGGATATTAGGAAGTATAATTAAATTAGGATACTTCTTTCCTTTCCTACTAGGATTATTCTTTCCTTTCCTACTTGTACTTTGATTACTCTTGTATTCCCTATATATAGGGTCATATCTCTCAATATTCAATAAGACAAGTTATTATCAAATTGTATCAAGAACTAAATAAACATGAAAAAAACTAGAAAAATGGGTATGAAAAATAATTATTCTTCCAAAATATTACTCCCTCCGTCCTACAATGTTCTTCCCAGTTCATTTTACGAGGTTTGACCGACTTTATTTTCAATTTAATTTATTTAATTGTAGGTGTAAAATTAAAAAATAAAATTTATATATTTAAAAACTACATCAAAAGTTCTACAAAACAAGTGGTGACAAGACTATATTATTTTATCAAATACCTAATGAAAATAGGTAAAGAAAGTGATTAAAGTTTGACCGATTAAAAGTGAGTGGAAAGAATATTTTAGGACGGACTGACGGAGGGAGTATAATAAATAAAAAGCCCGTTCAATATTTCTGACTCTTCAACATCTAAACTTCAATTTTTATTACTCCTTATTTTCTCTTTGGTATTTCGGATTGACACTTTGTCAACTAGACATCCCAACAATTTTCAATCTAACGTTAGACAAATTAAAAATGGGTCCCACAAACAATTTTAGGAGCAAAAGAGCTGTAAATTGCATGACAAATACAAATGTTAACAAGACACAATGATCTGTTCATTCGGTATTTTTTTTTTTTGAATATATTTATACACAGACGTATTCCACTTGAACAAGCTAAATATGCGTCCAGTGAACAAATGTTGCTATAAAGTCAAATAAAATCTGCATTGTAATTAAAATGCCACATGAATCTCTTTCACCCTTCTTTGTAAGAACAAATCTACTTCTATCCCAAGCGTTGTACCCCGAAATGTGCCCCAAAGGTTTAAACTTACATTTTGTGTCAATGTAAGCGGTCAAAATGTAAGTGTAAACATTTCGGGTACAATCTTTGGGGTACACGTAGCATGGTTGTTGTAAGAAAGGTAACAATAGGCTAGAGAGCTACTCTGCATTAGTAGTTCAAAACCCTTTCCAGGCAGCGAGAATTTCGTGGAAGATTTCAGACACGAGTTCTCGATCTGCATATTGAAGAAAGGTGTTGAAATCGTCAGAAATGTCATATATCTTACCAAACTTGACGAGATACTGCATACAACTGTCCTTCAGCTCTGGGAGCCCGTAAAGCGAGGCACTCTGGAGCCTGTCGAGGACATTGCCGGTATCAATGTCTTGAATTAGACTTTGATGGCACGCCTCCTTCAGGTCAGCAATGTCATACTTGTCAGCTGCCCGAAGAAGCGCTAACCGATGGGTCAGGAACTCTCCGTTTTCTATGGTCCCATATATGTACCTAAGGAAAGCATTGCAGGCTTCGGCTGACATATCAGAGATGTCCACAGTGGACATTTCTTTCTCCTTGAGATCGTGCGAGAACATGCTTCGGAAAACAGGTGACCTTGCAGCCAGAACAGCACGATGGGCTGAAATGCTCCCGCCTGCAGTGTTTACTTGAATGTCGGTGTGAATCCTTTCAGAGAACATCCGGCCTAGGGATATTAGGGCACCCGTATTTGACTCTTTCTTTGTGAAGCCTTCAGCCCAAATAGAGCTAAGCTCTCTACTCTGTTAAACAATATTGCCAAGGAAAAACTCATTACACCTCGTAAACTAAGCAGTCATTACTTCTTTAGGAGAAATAGGGTGAGTGCACCCGATATAAGACCTAATATGTGGTGAATATATAATTGATGACAAACCCAAGATCACACTCTCTTGGGAAGGAGTGGCTTTACCACTCTTTGCTTTCAACTTCCATTTCCACTCAACCACACGCGCGCGTGTGAATATTCATTCATGCCCAATTCATTAGATTATAATGTGTATTTAAGACGAGAATCGATGCATAAAATAAAGAAATTACATTTGGAGAGGTGATCTTCAGATCAAGAAATTCAACGTCGATGATGAATTTGCCCGCAGGTGGCAGTTCAATTGGCCAAATGAAGTCTTCACTGGTCTTAAGTTGTTTGTCTACAACTTCTGCATGCCAAACAACGGCAAACCCAACGTGAGAAAAGGGGGGGAGAAAATCACAAACAACAGAATGGGGGGAAAACAGCTACCTGGGTGAACTGAAATCTTGCGGCCTCCAAAGGACGAGATTGCTCTAATGATAAAAGATGCAACAGGAGGGTTATCCCGCGTTAAATTTGAAATCTCAGGGTACAATTTGATGAACAGTGTCCTGTTCTTCTCAATAACTAAATGCCTTGAACACAAACAACAAAGTACAAAGTATATTATTTTGGATCCAGACAAACCACTTCAACTTTCCAACAGCAGTTTGTTGTTATGGAGCACTACATTTTCTAAGCTTAGTGTTAGAGCTACAAAATACAACAATTTATTATCCGTTCTCTTGATTTGTTTACGCTGTACATACAAAACAGCAAAAATACATTGTCACAGCATGGAATTCGAAACCCAATCACATCCACCAAGATCCATCATCCATCCCAACCCAACAGAACAAACCAACCTTGTTTGGTAATAAACATTTTACTGAGTAATTAATATGCTAATTTCTAGCATTTAATAAACAATATGTCGTCCAAAAGGCTAATCCTAAAATGTTCAAAACGAGCATTTTGCATAAGGGGGTTCTGGTTTACGGTCACAAGTTCGAATATGAACAGATTAGATTGAAATTAGAGGTAATAGTTGTTAGAAGAAAAAAAAGAGACAGAATTGAATGATTGAACGGGTGGGTGAGAGACTGACCAATTCCATCTACCGATCTGGAAAGGGTCTGACTTGCGGTAAGTGCAGGAGGAGAGATTGTCGATCCGCCATTGGGCGAGGCGGGGCGTGGTCCGCACGCGATACGCCGAGTCGTCGGTCATCCTCGAGAAGGCCAGAGCCGCCGTGATGTCATTGATGCAACCCAGAAGCCCCTCCAACGTCACCTCTCCCTGCTTTCCCAGGATTTCTCTCTCTCTCTCTCTCTCTCTCTGCTATGCCCTAATCCCCACCTGGAACCTCACACACACACACACACACACTTTAATTATATGTATGAGAGTTTGAAGAATAATATGTATCTCCTTCACACGCAGAAGAAGAAGAAGAAGAGGAATATATAGGGGGAGATCAGAAGAGGCCTTTGGAATTGGGAAATTGCAGAGAGAGATTCGGTGGAGTGGACGACGGGCGACCCGACTGAAATTCGGGCACGCAAAGGATATTTTGGGGGGGAATGCTTTACGCCATTGGTACGGGGAAAACTTTTTGGAGGCTTTTTCCTTGTTAGCTTCTCCCTGTTTGTTGTTGGCTTACACTCCACACTTCCATGGCAGTGGATGGTGATGATGATGATGATGATGATGATGATGGGCAACGCCTTTTTTTTTATATTTGAGATTCTGCACGCACTTCGATGCTTTGGATTGTTTATATGATGGGTTTCTGTTATGGTGGACCCCAACTTGAAAAAAGTTTCTCCTCCAAATAGAAATGGTTAGATTGAAGTCCTATGCTTCAAAACTTGTCCTAGACCCCTCTCTTTCCTATTTAATAGGGAGTATTATGATTTCTCGATAATTTTTAGTTGTTTGTGTATTTTTATAGATTATTTGATAAAATAAAATATTTTTATTACTTCATGTTTTGAAGAATTTTCGATGTTGTTTTTAAATATAACTTTTTATATGTTGTTTCCTTACTAATTTGCAAATAAAATCATTTCAAAATCTACGAGGTTTTACATGTTATCATAGTAGAAAATTCTTTTTGGAACAGATGGAGAATGTCTCAGTGACCCCGTCTAGCCGGGTTTTGATGGAGTCCTCGAGAATAGTGTTCATCTTTAAAAAAGGTAGATTTGTTATGCATTTTAGTTAATTTGAATAATTATTTAACCAATATTATCATAATAATCATCAAAAGGTTGGTAGTGCGAAATGCAGGATTCGTTAATTTTGTTATGATGAAAATCTCCTTTTAACGAAGGTTTCAAGAGAGTAGCGCCCGTGAGAGTAAGATTCAAGGGTGCGGCAGTCCTTGCTGGTCCAAGGGACAGAACCTTTAATTTTTATTTTTCAGAATTGGATATAAAGAAATCCTAGAAAGAATGTTTTTTTCTAACTTTTGCACGATTAGACGCAAATTTCAGAAAAGAGAGTTGATCGCATCTCTTCTTCCTCTCTCCTTCTATAAGTATCTGATCAGGCTTAGTCGAAAATCCAATAAGTTCAAATAAATAATTCATCACAATTCAAACTTGTTCTTAATTAATAGTTTAAATTTTATCCGATTCATTTTGGAGTGAATGCCTAAATAATCAATATGAAAGCATTATTATGATTCTCAAATAACATTGTGTTATTTCAATTCCCCAAGATGATTGATGCCAACTTTGGCACCGTGAATAATAATACTTCCCCCGTTTTAGAGTATTTGTCCACTTTCATTTTTACACACCATCCAATGCATTTCTTTAATTCATTTTATCTTGTAATTTGTATATTAAAAAATTATAGAAATTATATATTAATAATCTATATGTTAAGACAAATTAAACAAGATCACACATGACTATATTTAGGTTTACACATTGAAAGAATTTGATGAGTCAAAGTACTTAGATGAACAGTTCCAAAACTCAAAAGTGGACAAAAACTGGGGGACGGAGGGAGTAATAATTTTGTGTAATTTTACACGCACACAAGATGTAATAAAAAGTAATTTATATAATTTGTATCTTCACATGTAATTATATCACATGTAGACCTGGCAAAACTGACCCATGCCTGATAACTTGAATTAAATCCAATTTGACCCAGAAACTGAAGAACCGAAAGAGAATCAAACACCCAAAATGATCTGAATCAAACCGAATGTATTCAGACTCGATTCAGATTCGAATCCAACTTAACCCGAAGCGGTTAAACTCAAAACTAATAAAACCCGAAATCGATTAGACCCGAAATTGATTAGACCCAAAACTGATTAGACCCAAAATTGATCACATTCATTAATATTTAATTTAACAAATGAACTTGGAGAAAAAATTTACTGATATATTTTCACATATGTTGATGTGTTTCTAAGAAATATATTTAAATTATGGGTGCAAACCGTGCAACAATTTTTATATACAAATCTTTTACTCCGTATTTTATTAAAGAAAATCTCCTAAATAGGAGTAAAACATATGTCATATCCTCAAAATAGGAGTTCTAACTTAAACTCTTCTAAATAGGAGTAATTTACATAATATATTCTTGGTGTATTCTATGAGTCTTAGTGTATAAAGCTAAATGAATATATTCAGTTCATATAATTGATTATTATTTAACGTTAGTTGAATATATTCAATTCAAATTTGAGGACTCTTAAGGATAATTGACTATATTCAATTTGAATTCGATGGTGCTGAATATTACGTTTTTGTATTTTGAGTTCAATTCAACAAATATTTTCTGGACATGCAGTTGAAATTGAAAAGTATTTGTATTTTATTTAATTTTCTGAGTAGTATATATGGAGTACAATAGAACTTTTTCTTTCTTTCATCAGTGCTTCTGTGATTATTTCCTTTCATTTCACAATGTTCTGCTTGAAATCAGATATTGGTTTCCGTTGGTAGTGGACCCTGGGATGAGCTATTTGGTGGAGGCAATTCACCTGCCTTTTTTGTGGCAGCACCCTCTGCATTTGCTGTTGGACTTGTAGCTATTGCCCGAACCAGAGTTCACAAGCAGAGGAGTCTTCCTTGAGGTATCTGCGGTCATGCATCCCACCCCTCTTAGATTCATCGCCGCACATTGTCACGCTGCCCACCCCTATCTCTCTTCCTCAAAGCATGACTCCAAAAGTGAGCATTTTCTCTCTCGATCTTTAATTGAATTCTATTTTCTTCAAAATTCTCGCTTGCGATCGTGGAGGGCATTGGATTTGGTTTGGCATTATTTCATTGTGTAACATTGTGACATTATATATGAGCATATATGGCATTATATATGAACATCTATGGTATTATATATTGTCATATGTGACATTACATGGTGGCATGTTTGACATTATTATGTCTTTCTTTGACACTGTATTGATTGTTAATGTGGCACTGTGGCGACGATGGTGCAGATTGTAATGGTAGTGTTGTTTATAATGGTATAGAGCAGTGATGTCGTCGGTGGTGACGATGGAAAATCAAAAGTATCAATAGTAGGTTTCGTTTGTAGCGGTGCGGCGGAGCAGAGGACGGTGGTGGTGGAGACTCAAGTGATAGTGGCAGGTATGTGGCGACGACGATTGCGGTGGTGGGAATCACCGGCAACGATGATTGCGGCAGTGAGCGTCGTTGTCGGCAGCATGCTGTTGTGAAATTGGCCGAATTTTTTTAGTTTTGAACTTGGCCACCACTGGTATTGGCCGCAAATGCCGCGCATGTGGGGAGCATTTTTTTGTTTTATTAATTAAGTTAAAATCTTTATTTTAACTTTTTATAAAAAAATAAAAAACGAAAAACTCAAAAACATAACTGCAAATAATCTAAAATGATCATTGTCCTCCTTAATATAGTCCCATGCATCTTTTAAAAAAATGTGCGTGTGGGGATCTTTTTTTTGTTTTATTAATTAAGTTAACTACTTCTATTTAGAGGAGTTTAAGTTTGAATTTCTATTTTGATGATATGACATATGTTTTACTCCTAGTTTGTTCCTTCTCCCATTTTATTACTTAAATTAAAGTGTTTTAATTTAAGTGATAAAAATTAAAGATAGTAATTGTTATAACTAAATATAATTTTTGTTACATTTTGTGATCAAAATAGCAATGCAATTTTGGGATGAAAGAAGTACAGTAATTATAATACTCAAGTTATGGAAAACGGATGACAAATGATTAACCAGATGCAAATTAGCCACTTGTGCATAAATCAGGCAAAACTGACTCGGACCAGATAACTCAAACCGAATAATCTGAAACCGAACCTGAATTGACCTAAAAATTGAAGAGCCAAAATAGAACTGAACACTCAAATGATCCAAACCGAACCAAAATCGAACTGAATGTATTCAAACCTGATTGAAATCCGAATCTGATTTAACCCGAAATGATTAAACCCGAAATCAATTAAACCCAGAACTGATTAGACCCGAAACTAATTAGACCTGAAACCGATTAGACCCGAAATTGATCAAATTCATTAATATTTCGTTTATCAAATGAACTTGGAGAAAAAGAATTACCGATATATTTTTATATATGTTGATGCGTTTCTAAAAAAACATATTTAAATTATGGGTGCAAACCTTGCAACTACATGTATAAATCTTTTACTCCGTATTTTATGACTTAAGTTAAAGTATTTTTGTATTTTATCGTCTCCGAACTTAAAGTTTGACCAACATCGTCTCTTCAAAAATATTAGCAAAAAATATTTAAAATAATACATTTAAAGTGTTTTTCGATACCAATAATTTGATTATAACTTTTACTCTGTGCATTTTAATTCATTATATATTTTTATATATAGTTATTCAAATATTTGACACAAAGAGTGAAATGGATAGTTAAATAGAAACAAAAGAAGTACGAAGTTGAATGTTAACCAAAAATATCGCGCCGAAAACTTTAGGAGTGAAAACTTAAGAATGTACACAATTAATCAATTATGTAAGTGTTATTTTTTATGTGATATTATTGATTTATTAGTATATGTTTAAAATATACCTAAACTAATATAAACCTAAACCGGTACAAACTCAAATCGATATAAACCCAAACCGATACAAACCTGAACAAATACAAACCCGAACCGATATTAATCCAATTCGATATAAATCCAAACCGATAGAAACCCGAACCAAAACAAAACCGAAACCAAAAACCAGTCAAACCGAAATAAACCCGGAATCGAACTGACTCGAGCCAAACTGACCCAGACTGTTTATAACATATACCCAAAAGAGACCCGAATAGAAAAGATCTGAACCGGAACCGAACCGATTGACCCAATTACCAGGTCTACTTGTGCATGCCACGCCAATTACTAAACCAGATATTTGAAGGCGTCAAATTTAAGAAGCTAAGCATAATAACAAGGGGATAACAAGAATTACTAAAAACAAAGGCACCCAAAGTGGAACTATGGGTTCGCATAACAAGATTTTGCCATGCTATTGTTTGCTACTTTGCCCCCAAGACGATTAGTCTTGAAAAGATTTCAAGCCACGTGTACAAATGGTGGAAAACAAAACAATCCAAAGCATATTGTTTGGAGATCTTGTAGACAAAATATATTCTTTTCGCATGAGACTGATGCGATACGCCCGCCACCCATCATTGTCTATAATAGTGTCACTGCTCGTAACCTTACACAACAATGGTCAATGGCAAACAGAAGACCGTTGCGCCACTTGGAGGGATGATGGCAAGGCGCCATCACATCAGCGGCTGGTGGTGGTGGTGGTGGTCGATGTGAAAAAGATTCTTCCTTAACCAATCTGATCTCACTTGGCTCAGATGGTGAAGTTGTTCCAAGAGATATATGTACCCACTCAAGCCCCTTCCTCGGTTTTCACCCATGTATATATCGTAAGCTTGTCCCAACCCTTGGCGAACCGAGAAGTGGATGTCACGGTCCACCATTCCAAATGTTTACATGACCTGATTGAAATACGCGCCAAAGAACCGAAAGCACTCATTCTGCAAGGAGGGTTTGAACAATGCAGCATTGTGATCTAGACCGTTGTTCGTTACGGCGTAGGCATTGGGAGAAGAATATTGACCACCAAATGTAGCATAAGGAGATACTGCTGCTTGGACTCTTGGAGGCCTTTGAGCAGCAGCAAATCCACAGTGCTGCCTAGAAGGATTGGGAATTTTCTTTGCGTGGGGCGAGAACACATACTTAAATGTGCTGCACTGACCCAATGGAAAAGGGTCGTCGCACCTCGGGCCATCCCCTCTCTTGTTGTTGTAGCCTGGGTAGTCAGCGATGCGGAAATCAACGCACTCAAACAAAACCAGAGAACTGTTGGACGCCAGACCGGTGAGATCCCAGTGGCAAAACGGCGCAGTTGTTTTGTGATTCACATGGATTTCCCCGTCCGGTCGGAGCATCCCACTTGCACTGTGGAAAAATCCACTTACTTGTTTCCGGTGCATTCTGTCCATAAAGAAGACCAGCAACATGTCACATGAATTGTACAGAGGGAGGATTGAATTATGACTCTACCAAAAAATGACATATTCAATGCATTAGTCATAACTTAATGCACTTCTCACTCAGTTTTCAGAACCAGAAATGGATAACCAATAATGCAAAACTGCAAAAGTCATCTATAAATGTCATCATAAAAGCAATCTATCTGCACAAGCCACACACCATTTATACTCTAAATATGTAATGTCAAATTGCCTCATTGAGGAATGGTCCTTCTGCAGTATTTTAATATAAAATAATTCGCTATGATGTGTTCCAGCAAATAAAGTAAAAACCCAATGAAAGGAAAAATTCTTACAGAAACATTCACAACCAAGTAAAGGCTAAGCAAACAACCATAATTTGCTATGATATGAGCAAGATTAGTTGATCATGCATGTTTTCGTTTATAGGAAACATTATGTGGTTCATTTTTATCATGACAAGAAAATGGTTGCAATAGGGAAGATAAGTGAACAAAGAAGACATACTGGATTAGCCGCGTGGCGTCTTCCTTTCCATGGAAACCGGCGTGGGGAAAATTAAATATAATGCGGTCGAATTTTCGCATCCGGAGGTCGGTATGAAGCTTCATTTTGATAGCATCCACTCCATGCAAAATGGTGGCTCCTAAATCAACCAATTTCTCTATGTTTGACTTTGCATTCTTGTACTTTTTCCTCACCTGATCTGCATTTAGCAAAATATACCATATCTAGATTTAAGCCAGGAGAAGAAAAACCATCATACATTAATTAAGTCTGAAACATAAGAATAGAAGTGAAATCTAAACCCTTAATATTTTCCCAAATCCAACAGAACAACAATAGGGGAGGGAGATTTTTTTTTAAAGTGCCCAATTTTAGCTGTAAAAGGAGGAATGATCAATGGGATGAAAATGATTTTACAGCTAGATATTCAACACCATCTTTCTTCTAACCTCAAACTTGTAATCAATCAATAATAATAATTCATCATCTCCATCAAATCCAAACTTTAAAAGATGGACCAATAATCTCACAAACCCTTTCTGAAATGAATGAGAATCAAAACTTGGAGACACTAAACATATGAGCTTAACACACTCAAAATGAAACAAATTGTAATACAGCCAAAATCAAATGTAAAAATAAGACGATTATCTCACATACCCCTTCTGAAAGGAATGATAACTAAAACTGGGAGACATTAATCAAATAAGCATAAAATCACTCAATTTCAGATTTTCCACAGCGAAAATGAACACTCAATTGTCCATACGAAATCAGTAAACAAATCTGCAAAATCGAGAGAAGCAAGGTACCAAAGGAATCGAGGGTAGAAGCGACAATATTCGAAGCAGATCCGAACGCCATAGCCAGACACAGAGAGAAAGAGAGATCTCCATCACCCACAAGCAGAATCTGATGAAGCGAAGAGTAGTGCTTCATCCATCTCTCCTCCTCCTCCTCTTCTTCTTCTTCATCGCCTAGCTTCTTCTCTCTCTTCAGGAGGTCGACAATGGCGGACTGGACTTCCACTTCCATCATTAAACTACGGGATTGTATATCGCTCTCTCTTTTGTTCTTTTCCATTGATCATTTTATACGGAGTAAAGAAATGCTCCGAGTTGAATTCAAATTTTATGACTGTTGGAATTTCAATCGGACAAGACGGGCAGCCGTTGCGGTCGGAAGTACCAGGCCTGCCTGGCTGCCTCAAAACATTCTTTATTAGCTCCCAATTCAAATTTTTAGATACATTGAAAATAAAGGAGATGTATTTTATGTTTAGATTCATTCACTTTTTAATATATTTTTTGCGTCTCAAAATGAGGCTCACGTTCTTTTTACGATACTAGTATCACACCCGTGCGTTGCACGGGTCATAGTTACGGTACTAACTTAAGATCATTTTTAGGAAAATAAATTGGTATATAATGGAATATAGAGATTTCATTATTTTAAAGTACAAAAGTAAAATGATTTACAAATTTCGAAAGACTTCTTTATAAACTACATCACTCGTATGTATAATTTGTGTAAGCATTCACTTCGTTGTATATCAAAATCTTCAAGCCATTGTGATTTATTACTCTTTAAACTGCAACATACACTTTCTCATGACTAAATACCAGTTTCCGTAACAATAATTCAATATGTTTCAGATATTGTTCTTGATAATAATTCAATAATTTGACTTATCTAAGTAATAATTCAACATATTAATGTATTTATTTTGGAATTTGTATTTTTTAATTTTATTTTCGTATTTAAGTGGTACCATTAACTTACCCTATGATATTTATTTTCTATTTTATTTTAGATCACTTACCATTTTTACACGTATCCATGCTTGAAAATTATAGTATTAATAGTATTTATTTTAGAATACTTATACCATTGTTACATGTTTCCATGCTTATAATATTAATAGTATTAATTTATAATTTTTTCATTTTTGCATTTAAATGGTACCATTTGCTTAATGTACCATATTTATTTTTTAATTTATTTTATAACACTTACCATTTTTACACGTTACCATGCTTGTAAATTGTAGTATTAATTGATAGTATTATTTTGTAGTTTTCTATTTTATTTTTTTTATTTAAATGGTATCATTTACTTACCATACCGTATTTATTTTCTAATATATTTTAGAATACTTATCGTTTTAATAATTATTTTATTTTCTAATTTATTTAGAACACTTACCATTTATTATATTTTGTGTCTGAATGGTATCATTTGATTATCGTGGTGACATACCCTTCCGTATTTATTTTCTAATTTTCTAATTTGAACACTTACCTTTTAAAAAAAATCATGTTTTTAAAGTATAGTATTAATATTAATTTTGCAGTTTTTAAATTTATTTTCGTATTTAAATCGTACTAATTACTTACCAAACCACATTGTTTTCTAATTTAGCTTACAACACTTATCATTTTTAGATGTACTCTCTCTGTCCCTAAATAGATTACAATTTTTTTCTCTCCTCTCGATAGCTTTTGTTTGTTTACGCGATTTCATTAAGTATTTGATAAAATAAATCATTCTTATCACTTCTTGTTTTGTAAAACTTTTGACATATTTGTTTAATATGTAATTTTTATATCTTATTGATATATCAATTTGTAAATAAAATGATTTCAAAAAGTAAGAAATTTTACTCCGTAACCCGCAATTTGTAATGAAATTGGGGACTCGGGGAGTATTTTATTTTCTCTTTTATTTTAGAACACTGACCTAATTTATTTTAGAAAACTTATCATTTATTTTATTTTCGTTTTTACTCCATCCGTCCTATAATGATCTTCCCGGTTCGCAAAACAAAGAAAAATCCCAGTTTTTTTCAATCTATTTTATTTAAATATTGGTATAGAAATAAAAAATAAAACATACATATTTAAAAACTACACCAAAAGTTCAACAAAACAAGTGGTGACAAGAATATTTTATTTTATCATATAGGCCATGAAAAAACACAAATAAATATAAATTCCCGTGAAGTTGGAATAGTGCTCTGGGAAGATCATTATAGGACGGAGGGAGTAAATGGTGCTAATTGCTTACCATACCATATCTATTTATTTTCTAATTTTCTAATTAGAACATTTGTAATTTTAAAACGTTCCCATTCTTTTAAATTATAGTATTAATATTAATTTGTAGTTTTTTATTTTATTCTTTTATTTAAATGTTATCATCTACTTACCGTACCATATTTATTTTCTAATCTATTTTAGAAAACTTACCATTTTTACGCGTTTGTGCTTGTAAATTATAATATTTTTTAATGATAAATAATTAATTTGTAGTTTGTTTGAAACAAATCATTTTAATCATGCCCATACTATATTAATTTGTAATTTTTAAATTTTATTTTAATATTTAAATGCCAGTGTATTTTATTTCCATACTTCAATCCCCCAATGGTTCACTACTATTTAATTTAATTTAATTTAAATGCTTAAATGGTGTAACATTTAAATAAAAATAAAAATAAAAACTACCATTTATGTTGTCAACACTTTCCATATATGAGTGTCATGCATGGGCGGGAAAAAATTCATGTCTTTTTAAATAATGTAGAGATTTGACTAAATTTATTTTCAAATCAATATAAATAAAAATTAATATAGAATTAAAAATAAAAATTAAACATTAAAAAATTACATCAGAAATTCTACAAAATAGGTGATGAGAAAGTTATTTTATTTTATCAGATTATCGTTGAAAATGTATAAGGAATGCAAATTTAGTTTGATCAATGAATAATAAATAGGAAAAAAGACTAAAGTAGGAGTACAACATTAAAATATACCAAAATAAGAGTTTCATACTCCGTATTTTTTATTTCTGAAATACGAGTTAAAATGCATTTTTAGTGTCAATAATGATAATATACATTACCAAAAAAATAATATGCAAAAATCTTTTAAATGATATATTTACAATAGATTTTTTCAAATTAGAATCTCTATTTATTTAAAATATTTATTTGAAAAAAGTATAAACTCCCTTCACTAGGAAAAATATCCTTACAAAAAAGTATATACTCCCTTCATTGTGAGTTACTCATTTCTTTTTTTAAAAAATGAATTTTTGAGGCGGACAAAACGGGAAAAAGTGAAGTTTTTTTTTTGAACTTGACAAAAAAGTGTAATTTTTTTTATAGAATGTAGATAGTATAGATTTTTCAAATTGATTGAGTATTGTATGCATAACTGATATAAAGTATTACTCGTATTTTGTTTAAATATTTTTTGGAACAAATTATTATTTGTTGTTGTACAAAAAAAATATAATTAAATATTCAATTCGTACGTACTATATGTAATTATACGTATAGTATTAAATATACATATATTTTAAAGTTTTTTTGAAAGTCATACGAATACGTGAGTATAATACGCAATTATACGTACACAAGTATAAAACGTGTATTATACACGTATTAACTAACTAGGTCTACATATCACATCTTACTTTTACCCATCATATTAATAATATTTTTGAAAAGTCAATACAAAAATATTACTCTTTTAAATTTCATAAAAGTCAAAACATGAACATCTTTTTTGGAGGAACGAAGTATATCATAACTAAATAATGACTTAAGACATGCGACTTATGGGAGTGATGTGCTTAGGCAGTTATTTGAGCAACGTAAGACACATTTCGCTGGTGTAATCATCACTAAAACTAAAAAGTCCTCCATTAATTAAGTAGCCCAAACCATTCCAAGCTGCTTTAATGTTCGTGCTTTCCTGGAAATTAGAGCAACCCAAAATCCTTTCTTCTTTTCTCCTCCCAATTAACTTTATTCACAAATGACCAAATCAAACAGGCCAGGAACAAATACATTACACGACCTAGCTAGACCAGGTACTTGTCTGTTTTAAAACCTTGACCCTGCCGGTTGGAAACCCTCCATTAAAATTTAAAACCCTTTTGTCCCCTGATCCAAAATCCCCTCTCAATCACAAACCCAAAAGAAAAATGGAAAAGGCTGGAAGACACTGCAGTTCAGATCACATAGCACAGCAGCAGCCAGCTGAGCGGTCAAACAGTTCTTTCCCACCTTGGAAGAAAATGCTTAGATCCCTATCAATGAATAGGCCCAACCACAGGGTTGCTGAAGAAATCTCCTCTTCCTCCTCCGCCCAACCCTGCAGCCATGATCATCATCACCACTCCCAGGTACGCCTTGCCATTTACATAGCCATGGCTCACGCGGGCCTCGCTCTCGCGGCCTTCATCGCCTACGGAGTCTTCAAGTTGCTTGAGGAATACATGAGGCCCATCCTGTGGGCCGGCCTCTGTTCAATCCCCCTCCGGGGGATTCAACACGCCCTCGTTGGGTTTTGGTCCGAGCCCCTCTCCTTGGGGCTCACCGAGACCTTTCTAGCCATCCCCGTCGCGCTCTTCAAGATCTTTGTCGGAACCGTTGTCGAGATCAAGGAGGCGGGTCTCGAGATTGTCCTGAGGATCATGGGGAGGCCGTTCGCGTCTCCACGCTCGGGGGCGGTAAGGAGATACCGCCGCCGTAGAAGCGGGTTCTTCGTGCTGCTGAGATGGCTCGTGTCGCTCTGGGTCTTCGTGATGACTTACGAGCACGTCGGGAGGATCGCGTCCCTCGCGCTCCTCGCGTTCGGGCTCACGTTCTCCGCCTCAGGCGTGGAGTCGAGCATGAGGAGGGTTAGCTCCTTCAGGAGCAAGAGCTTTCGCCGCTCCCCGGTTTCCTCCGTCTTCACCAAGGCCATACTGAAGAGGCTGAAGATCATCGTGGCGATCGGGTTGATCGCCGCGATGACCGTGGGCTCTCTCGCGGGCACCGTCTTCTTCTCCTACAAGATTGGGATGGAAGGGAAAGACGCGGTCCTCCGACTCCAGTCGCACGTCGTGGACAACAACTACGCGGAGAGGTTCGGCATTCGGGAGTGGATGGATGAGAAGGATCTGGCCGCAATGGCGGATAGGTACACCCTCCAGATGTATCAGGCCGCTTTCGAGCATATGGACAAGTACGCAATGCACTACAACTTGAGCGAGTTTGTTGTGGGTATGAAGCACTTGGTGATGGCACTGCTGGCTAACTCCTCGTCCTCCGGCGGCCCCGACTCATCAACTCCTAATAATATTATGGCCTCCCCGCCGCCGCCGCACCACGACAGGATCTTGAGCCTCAAGAAGCGGATCATCGCCGGGCAATGGGGGAAATTTTACGTGGAGACGGACGCCATTTTCAAGGAGATGGTGAGAGTTGGTCGGGACGGCTTGGCGGGGAGGGCGAAAGGCGCGATGAGGCGAGCCTTGTTCAACGGGGCGTCCTTCCTCGGGGGGGCCGCAAAGGTCGCGTTCCTCGTGGGGAGCTCGATACTCTCGGGAGCGGCGGGCGTGTTCAACTTTGTGTCCCAGGCAACGGTGTTCTTGTGGGTGTTGTACTGCCTCGTCACGTCCGAGTCGGGGGGTGTGACGGAGCAGGCAATGCGCATGCTACCCGTCCCGCCCTCGGCGCGGGACAGGTGCGTGGAGGTGCTGGACAAGGCCATCTCGGGCGTGCTTCTGGCCACGGCCGAGATAGCCTTCTTCCAGGGGTGCCTCACCTGGCTGCTCTTCGACCTCTTCTCCATACACTTCTTGTACGCATCGACCGTTCTGGCCTTCGCCAGCCCGTTGTTCCCGATCTTCCCCTCGTGGCTCTCGACCGTCCCCGCGGCGTTGCAGCTGGTGTTGGAGGGGAGGTACGTTTTGGGCGTGGCATTGGCGATCATCCATCTTTTGCTCATGGAATATGGGACTGCTGAAATCCAAGAATATGTTCCTGGCTACTCTGCTTATCTCACTGGTCTCAGCATTATTGGGGGAATGGCATTGCTCCCATCACCCGTGGAGGTATTAGTTTTTAAGAATTAACGTAGGAGTACCCTAAAATGAGATACTCGTACATCACGCATTCAGAGACACACACCGACTTTCAATGTCTCCGTGTGTATAAATGGAGTACCCGATTTTAGGGTACGGCCATAACATTACACACCGACTCTCAATATCTTAGTGTGTACAAATAGGTACCCAGTCTACCATAACATTACACACCGACTCTCAATGTCTTGTGTGTACAAATGGGATACCTATTTTAGAGTACCATAGGATTACACACCGACGTTATACAAATGAAATTCCTTATTTTTAGGGTAACCTAACATTGCACGAGTTTTAGGACTTTACCATTTCGAAAACATTATTAGTTGTTAGTGAATTAAAGCAAGATTTGTTAATGACAGGGAGCAGTGGTAGGACCATTGTTAACAACAATTGTGATTGGGCTAAAGGACTTGTACGTGGAGTTTGTTCTGGAGGGATGGAAAGATTACTCTTCCACGGATTCTGATTCTACCTCATCACCTCCACCAATTAAACTTGGGAGAAGTAAATAACATCACCTTATTTAATTTCAATTAGGTGCACTCATGCTTTGTACAGACAAATGCGCACCATAATCAAACCAAATGACATGTACGGAGTACCATATTTGCTGTACCATACTTTTTGCCACAGTCAAGATATACCGAGTATAATTAATTAATTTTTTAGGGAATTATTAATTTAATTTAATTATAAAGAGTATAGTAGGTCATTGCTTTTTTGAATAAGAATTTAGCCAAACACAAATAGGATGCTCTCTAGTGTGTATATCCCAATTTGGATGTAGTGTTTGACTGTTTGCAAGCTCTTCATATATCATCTGGTTTTTATATATATATTACCATTGTTTAGAAACAACGATTTTGATTAGGATTAACATTTTAGATAAAATTTTAATGGTATTAATGAATTCTGAAAACGCTATAGTCCAATAGCTCTTTCAAAACACTTAAGTCATTCTCTAGCGTTGATGCCAAATAGGGCTATTATCTATTTTCCTTTTGATAAGGCTGTAAATGTAAAGAAATTCTTATACCTTTAATTTTGAAAATTTACCAAAACACTCGCATTATTATATGTTATGTTGTAACTGAATAAAGCAAAGATCATACCGAGTATAACTTAACTCTTTGAATAATGACTATGAATGTTTTCCCTTCCCTTTTAAAATTATTTTTCCACTTTGGCCGAGAGTCATTTTTAATGAAGCATAAAAATAGTGTTGAATTTCTCAAAATGCCCTAAATGTTTACTCCACCCTACAATATGATGTATCCAAAAGTCCAAAACACATCTTTAATAAAAAAATAGAACACCCGAGATTTTGGATGATCATAGTTACGTATTTAGTTCATACCAATATCATACCGAATATTTTGATTCGGTATGAGAATTTACGCTATACCAATTCGATTCCAAAATATCGTTTCGGCATGATTTAGGCTGCGTTCCGTTCGGCATGATTCCAGAATATCGTTTTGGCATGATTCCAATATATTTTTTGAAGTTATGATCTAATCTGATCTAATCTGATCTGATCTGATTGGATCTGATATGAATTTGATTAAAATTAAAAAAAATCATAATTGTTATAATAATATTAGAAATATTAATAATAGTAATAATAATACTAAAAGTAATAATAATAGTAAATAGAATAGTAATAAAAATAATAGTAATGAGAATAGTAATAATAATAATAATAATAACTATAATAATAATACTAATAATAATAGTAATAATAATAGTAATAATAATAACTATAATAATAATAATAATAATAATAATAATAATAGTAAAAACAATAATAATAGATATGATAACAATAATAGAAATAATAATAGTAATAATAATAGTAAAAATGATGATAATAATAATAATAGTAATTGTAATAGTAATAATAATAATAATAGTAATAATAAATATAATAAGAATAAAAATAATAATAATAGTAACAATAATAATATTATTAATATTAATAATAATATAATAATAATAACAATAGTAATAATAATTATAATCATAATATTAATAGTAATATTAGTACTAATACTAATAATAGTGGTAATAATAGGAATAGTAATAATAAAAATAATAATATAAATTTTGTTTAGATATGGATTGATCTGGTCTGGTCTGATCTGATATGGCCTGATCTTGTCTGGCCTGATCTGATATGATTGAATCTGATCTGATCTAATCTAATGTGATCTAATTTTAATAAGAATATGTAATAAGCAGAAAAATAAATTAAACAGAACGCTGCCTTAGTATTAGTTCTACTACAAGCCAGGATTAATACATACCGAGTACGCACATATCTACTTTACATTTAGAAATGCAACAAAACACTTTGTTTTAAAAATTTTAAAAGTGAGTTTAAATAAAGAAACACAAAGCTAAAAAAATCAATAATTAAAAGAGAAAAATACTAGAGTAGGAGTAAAACATAAAAAATGTACTAAATTAGAAGTTTCATGTTTTTATTTCTAAAATAGAAGTTAAAATGCATATACAATGTCAATCTTGCCAATGTGCAATATAATACTAAACAGTATTATAAAATATCTATATACAGTGTCACATTATCACAATGCGAACTCTTAGTTTGGGGACAAAAATATAGAGCTCTCATTTTGGTTTTTTTTAATGTTTCATTCCTATTTATGATGTTTATGCAAAAAATGCTTATAAAATTTAGTTTATCTTTCACAAATTAAAGAGATAGAATTGAATGAAAACAAAATAGTACTACTTTCGTCCTAAAAATATTTCATGTTTTGATTTTTTAGTTAAAAAATACACTCTTTGATATTAAATTATGAAAAATATATTTAAAGTCGAAACTGACTCCAGGTCTCCAAAATTCATTGAGGTTTGGCTTTCAACAATGTCGGATTATTCTCGTACGTTTGGTAAAAGCACACTATGTACTTATTAGGCTCAAGATCAAATAAAGAACCAAATGGATTCATTATAAAACTTTAAAAATAAGAAAGTTGAAGCTTTTTTTAAGAAAGAAGAGTGAAAAAAAGATGAACATTTGTGTTTGTGTGTGTTTTAGCTTTAAGAATATGACATTCTAGCTCGCTTTTTGAAAGGAGGAGAAGCCCGCAAATTTTGCCTCTTAAACATTTGACGCAAGAACAATGAAGTCCTAAACTCCCCAAAAATATTTTCGGTGCTCTAATGGTCAAAGACTTTAGATCTTAAAACCCGGGCTTAAGAAGCTTCCCTGTTTCGCATGGCCCAAAAGATGGCTTTGCTTTTTTACCTTTAGGCCAACATCTTCTCTTTTTGGTCTACAAGAAAGCATTTATAACTTTATTAAATGAAAAATCTACATGAATAGTCCAACAAAAATTTGTGATTTTATATTAATACAAATTGAATAACTTATACAACTACTCCCAAAAATCACATACTTTTACATGGAGTCCAATACAGTAATACCATGCAAAATATGAGAAATTTTTAATGGTGACTCTAAATTACTAAGTATGTATTCGTAACTACGGAGTGATAAAAAATAAAGAGAGATAATGTTTCAGACAAAACTAGGGATGTTTATTCAGATATATCCGATCCAATCCGATTTTTCAGATGTCCGAAATTTTTGTATCGGTAAAATTCTATTCCATGTCCAATCCGAAAATTGCTGGAAATTTGAATTTTGGATATCTAAAATTTCGGATCGGATCAATGGAATATCCGTGAAAAAATTATACTTATTTTTTTGGAATTTTTATTTTTTCCAATAATTCTAAAAAAGTATTCAGAATGATTTTTTTTTCTTAAAATAGTAGAGATCATAAATTAGACTTGAATTTGAATTCAACTGTATTTTAAATGTCATAATTATCATGATAGTGTTATCATAAGTCATAACATTATAAATGTATGAAAAAAGAATAGCAACATAATTGATAAATAAAGCATAAACAAAAAAGACTAAAGTAAAAATTTTGAATTAAGCTTAGATTTAAATATTTATGATCATGAAAAATGAATTGGCTTAAGTTGTCTAAGCTTTATTTTTATTTTTTTAAAAACATGAATTTTGGTATTCACTGATATCTGAAATCTTGATATGTCATTCCATATCCAATCCAAATTTTTCGGATATTCGATCCGAAATATCCGAAAGTTAAAATATGAGATAAGATATCTATTTTTCGGATCAGATTAGCCTGGATCTTGGATGGATAGTTCGGATCAAATATTTTTTAACACTCCTAGACAAAATAAAGAGTTTTGAAGTAGATATTTCGCGATCAATTTATATTCTTCTGAAAGATCTTAAAAATATAAACTTAGCATTACGTTAACTTTAAGGTTCTCTAATTTTTTTATCTCAAGCATTACTCATAATTTATCCATTAAAATCTAAATGCTTTTTCTCATTGTTAACATTTTTTTAATTTAAATGACATAGGAGAGGGAGATAATTATAGCATATTCAAATTATTTGGCAGCCTGAATTATTAGTATAAAATTAAATAATTCTATAAGCATTGATGCTAATTATTCAATTTCAAATTATTAACGTAAAATTATATATTTTTTTTGAAATATTCATGTGAATTTTTCTTGTTTTGAAATGAAAATTGTCCACAAAATTTGTTGCCAAGGATGGTTTCCCACACAATTTAATCCCCGCCCATTCTGACCGCTAAATTTTTTGAATCGAGCGGTTCCGAGCCATATCGCTCTGTATAAACCCTAACTCCGTACCTTCTTTTTCTTCCCACTCCACTCCTCCTTCTCCGATTCCAAATTCTTCCTGATTCTAGTCCTAAGCTCTAAGAATTTCCCGGCGAAGATGTTGGAACTCCGTCTGGTTCAGGGAAGTCTCCTGAAGAAGGTGATGGATGCAATCAAGGATCTGGTGACGGACGCCAATTTCGACTGTTCGGCCACCGGCTTCTCCCTGCAGGCCATGGACTCCAGCCACGTCGCGCTTGTCGCCTTGCTGCTCAGATCTGAGGGATTCGAACACTACCGCTGCGACCGCAACATCTCCATGGGGATGAACCTCAACAACATGGCCAAGATGCTCAAGTGCGCCGGAAATGACGACATTATCACCATCAAGGGAGACGATGGAAGCGATACTGTCACCTTCATGTTTGAAAACCCCAGTAAGTTTTAGCATTTTTGCAGTTGAATTCTGTATTTATTTATTTTTGTTTTATGTTCATGTCCGGTAAACCCTTGATTTTCTCTGAATTCTGCTCTTTATTTCTTAGTTTTGAATTCACAATTGTGTTATTGTACTCCTCTTTACTTCAACTTAGCTGCGAGATTTAATGTTGATCTAGTATTATAAGACCTGCCTTTAGAAAATTGTTATGCTCCCTCTTTTCCTATTAAACTTTCTGCTTTATCCAAACTACTCATTGAAAAAAAATCACAACTTGTTCCATACCAACATTTCTTTTATATATCCCCTCTTAAATTGTTGAAGTTTGATATAACCTAACAAAGTACTACGTATTAAGTTAAACATTGGTAGGAAGAAATTATTTTTCTATATTTTTGCTAAATTAATTGACAAAATGCAACACTTAATCTCAAAAAGGTGTACTGTTAAATAGGAATAGAGGAGTACTTCATTGTTGAAATGCCTTAAAAGTTCATTTATCTTTCATTTGTTTCTGCATTTTGCTTTGGTTGGGTGCATGTGTTGTTGAATGACAGTGTGCAAAACTGTGGTTTGTTCGGCTGATTTGGTTTTTTGATGGTTTTTTGGGTACAATGTGGTTTAGCTCAAGACAAGATCGCTGATTTTGAGATGAAGCTTATGGACATTGATAGTGAACACCTTGGGATCCCAGAAGCAGAGTACCATTCTATTGTTAGGATGCCTTCAGCTGAATTTGCTCGCATTTGTAAAGATCTTAGCAGCATTGGTGATACAGGTAGCCCATTTTTCATCTGACGATCAATCATTAAATTTTTGCACCATATTTTGTGTGTTGTATAATATAAGCTTTGTCTCAATTTTGCCATTGCAGTTGTTATCTCTGTGACCAAGGAAGGTGTGAAGTTCTCAACAAGGGGTGACATTGGAACTGCAAATATTGTTTGCAGGCAAAACACAACAGTAGACAAGGCAGGATGTTTTACTAAACAATAGTTTACTTATTATTCTCTGCTGAATCTTTCTGTAGTGGTTGGTCGATCTTAATAACAACCATGTTAGGGGTATACCAAGGAGTGTATCCCAAAGTGTACACCAAGGTTATGCACTAACATTTTTATGATTCACACTAACATAATGTTAGTGCGATAAAAAAAATTGCACTAGCATTTTGTGTCTGTCTGTGTGAACAATCAGACAAGTATCATACTTGCAAAAAGTGAAGGTGCACACTTGTGATCTACAATTTGGTGTAGAACTTTTGGGGTACAAGTAGCTCAATTCTAATCCTCTTTTTGACTGACTTGCAGCCGGAGGAGGCAACAATCATTGAGATGAATGAGCCAGTGTCTTTGACGTTTGCGTTGAGGTACTTGAACTCGTTCACCAAAGCGTCTCCGTTGTCCAACACTGTTACAATCAGCTTGTCCTCAGAGCTTCCTGTAGTTGTGGAGTACAAGATTGCTGAGATGGGATACATCAGGTTCTATCTCGCACCTAAGATTGAGGAGGACGAAGAGGACACCAAACCTTGAGCTTCACCCTAAACTTATCATCTATCTATGTTGTTCAAGGCAGAACATTGAAATTTGTATCCACTTGCTCCTTAGCATCCCATGGCAGATTCTCAGTTTCTTGTTATAAATTTGTGTGTGCCTCTCTTAGAACTCGTAACTTTTTAGAGTGACAAAAAGTGGGTTTAACACAGAAACTGTAATTGCTTATGTGGTTTAGCCCAAAAAAACCATTAAAAATGTGTGTGAAAATCATAACTGAACAAGAATCCCGTTGTCACTCGACAAGGGCTTTGCGCGACTTAAAAATAATGCTGCCTTCCTTTGGTATCAGCTACTAGCGTTTCAGGCAGAACTATTTTTTTTGTTTCCTCCAAAAGTATTCAAAAATAATAATTTGAATATGAGTAATATATATGCAGTAGTACACTTCTTCATTCTCCTGTGTCTCACAAGTACCTATATACGGAGTACAACTTTACATCACAATTGAAATGACGCAAATGAATATTTAGAATCTGCATAGTAGAATATCTCTACGGTTCAAATGGCTAAAGCTATGTTCTCTTCAATTTATTTTTTATTTATTATTTAATCTTATTGTAATCAGATCACATTAGACAAGATCAGAAACACTTTTAAATATAATTACATTTGGATTAGATAAGAACATATTAGAACTTATTCTAATCAAATCATAATCAATCATATCAGGTGAAGAAAACATGTCCTAAGCCCTCATATACCTAACATTTATGCAATTAATTCCGAGACAGTGTAACTTTTGAAAAAGCATTCTTGTTCAGTGCTGGCCAGACGAGTAGAGTATTTACAGTACCTGTTAAAATTTCGGTGGGTCGAGAACGAGTAAAGTGTCAGATAAAATTAGCTACTTGTATATAAAGTCGAGATCCATTATTCTAACCTAAAAGTTTGAGCTCATATATATGGTTTCACTCCTTTATATATGTTAGTAGTATTTATGTTTATTTTTGGATATGAGAACTCGAGCAGTACCACTTCTATCGTTAGTAGTTTTAAAATCTATTGGGGACGCATGATCTTGACACATGTTGGAATCTAAGGAATTAACCCGAAATGGTATTGTTTGTACCGTTAAAATTAAAAACCTTTAACTTTCTCTTTCATCATTCAAGAGCTTTTGAGTTCTCCCACCACAAATATTTTTTTTGCGCAACTTTCTTTTTCATCATTCAACGGCTTTTGAGTTCTCCCACCATAAATATATTTTTGCGTATGTAATTCGTGGGGATTTAGTATTTTGAGAAGTTTTTAAAATTTCTTAGTTGTGTCTTAAATTGCATGTTTGTGATTTTTTTTCTTATAAGAATATCTATTACATATTGTGAAATTTGCACTGAATAAGACTAAAACATAAATCATTTCTCAATGTAGGACTTAAACTTTTTTATTCCTTAAATAGGACTTAATAATGATTAGTGAGTAGAATAATGTCCAAGTAATGATGGACATAAATAGTTGAATAATGACTAATAGATAATGACCAATGGTCCTACATTAGGAAATAAAAACATATGGTCCTATATTGAGAAAATCATTATGTTTTAGTCCTATTTAGGTAAATTACTCTTAAATATTTTGATTTATTGATTCTACACCTAATTCTACACCTAACACAATAAATCTTGTGCCTAATTTTACTCCCATCTATTACAATAAAATCTTACATCTAACTCTACTCTTACCTTACACATAAAATCCCGCACCAACACAATTCCCACCTAACAAAAAAAACCTAAAACTAATTTTACTCTTATCTAACAAAAAAAGCCTACAACTAACTTTACTCCCATCTAACACAACTCCCACCTAACATAATAAAATCCCGAACCAACACAACTCCACATAACAAAAAAACCTAGAACTACTTTACTCTCATCTAACACAATACTCACCCAACACAATAAAATCATGCACCAACACAACCCTCACCTAACACAATTAACACATCCTCAACTTCTACTATATATTTGGGGCACGTCTCACAATCTCATTACACAACTACAATCTTTCTAAAATATATTCTCACACAAATGTTGAAGGGATGTCGCTCTCTTCCAGTATATGGGCCCCGTATAGAATTCCGACCACTAATCTTTTTGAAAGCTTCAACCAAATGTTGAAGGGATGTCGCTCTCTTCCGGTATATGCTATCATGAAGACAACCATTTAGAGGTTAGTAAAATTATTTGCAAAAAGGCGGACAGATAAAATTATATGGCTACAAGCAGAGTTTAAGTTTCCAAAATATGTTTGGAATGAGGTTAGAAGCATGGAAGATTATTATTTGCATTATAATGTCATCCCCATCATCTGCAACAAGGGAATATCTAAGTCACTATCGAGGGCAATGTTGGATTTGTAGGTAGAGAAGATGGAATTATTGTGCATTTGAGCCAACAAATGTGTACGTGCGGGAAACAGTCCACGTAGCATATGTATTGTATCCACGTCTATGCCGTATGCTGTTGTTGTAGAATAACAGTTGATGATCTCACTCCATCAGTATTCTCACTATAGAGCTACCTGATGCATATTCTGAAAGTGTTATGCCACTACCAAATCAAATTGTACCCCCAAAATAAAATGGAGGCATTCTTGGAAGTTTGTCATTTTTTCTACTCCTAAATAAACATACCAAGTCAACACAAAAAGAATACTTCTGTACGAGTGTACATTGTTTTATTTCTAAGTCAAACCATGCAAAATTTCACCATAAATTACATTAAATAAACATTATGTTATAATGTGAACTTAATAACCCTAATTGATATGTTGTTTTACAATATACTCTCAATTATACTCATCAAATTTATTCCATCCGTTCCAATTTAAATTGTCTGTTTTAATATACGATATTTGACTGAAGTTATTTTTAAATAATTTTATATAAAAATGGAGTATTATTAAAAAATAAAAGTTATATATTTAAAAATTACAACAAAAGATATATAAAACCAACAATAACATGACTATATTATTTTATCAAATAACTAACGAAAATAGGAAAAGAAAGTCAATGAAATTTGACCATGTTAATACTAAACATGCAATTTAATTAGAGATGGATGGAGTATTTATATACAATTATAGATATTAATAATCAAAATATTAACTTGAAGACCATATTATTCAAACCTTTTTTAGGAACACAAGTAACTAATTGTAACTACTATAGAAGAATTCTCGATGCCAAATCCAACATGCTTTAGGGCTTGTTTTCTTCAACTTATCTGATTAGTTCTGATCTAATTAGAATAAATTTTGATCTAATACGATCTACTCAAATTATATTTGTATGCAAAGTTATTTCTAATATGATCCGATTCCAATAAAAATAAGTATTAAGTAAAACAAATAAGCTGGAGGGCACAATCTCTTAGTTGCTTCTTCATTTCAATAAATAAAAAGGCTTAAGGTAGGAGCCAACCAATTTTACAAACAGAACATTATAGACACCCCAAATTAAGATAGTGGCATCCGATCTTTTTTCAATAAATAAAATGCGCAAGCAATTAAAACATCTCAACAATACAATAGCATTTAGCACTCACAAATCAACGAGAATGAATGACATGCCATACACTAAAACAAGCAGGCTTCAACTTTGGCAAATTAAGGAGTGGAAATTCACATTCCTCTCAAATAATAAATCATTGAATAATTCACAAACTCTAGCTCAATTCCAGATACCTATTGATAAAATAATAAAAGCCAAACAAATCAATCACTAATCTGGAGAGGCTATAAAGAGCTAAACTAACTCTAACACTATCTTTGGTTCAGGGAATTAGACAGGAAATGAAAAGAAAAAGGTTTTTCTTTTTCTTCACCAAACTGGAAATATTTTTGTTTTCTCTCTTCTTTGTTTATTTTCCCCTCTCCTTTTTTTCCTTTCACTATTCTTTTCTTTTCCTCTCTAGTCAAACAAGAAAAATCATTTTTCATGTCATTTTCTTTTCTTTTCCTTTTGAAATTCCTTGAACCAAACATAACGTAAGTCAAAAGGCATGTGCTTCAAAAATCCAGAATTCTGGGAAAAACACAAGTTCAAGCTTCTTCTTCTTCTTCTTTGTTTAACCTGCGCTTGAAAAGTAAAGATTATATGTACAGGCATAGGGAGGTACCACCAAGTTGCTTGTTATTCAACGAGCGTGCATTTGTCTGGACGGATTTTTTGTCCTTTCCCTATTTAAAGAATGGTGAGTTCCAATTAATTTGGTGCTGAAGTTGCTGATGAGGAGCAAGTGCATCGGGTGATCCACCAACAACAGCCTGAGTTTGCTGCTGGGGTAACTGCTGAATGCTTGAAGACGGTGTAGCAACTGTGGGAGATGGATGATATATACTAGAAAGAGGTCCGTGCGTGGAATGTGTGGGGGAGAAAGCTACTTGCTGGGTGTGGTGAGGTAAGTTGTAAAAGTAATTGGCCGGTGGTGGTGGTAACATTGATGGATGATGATCTCTTCCAATTGTAGACGTCCAAACATGCGGCTCTTCACTCTGCATATAAAGATGGACTATATATCATCCAGGGGGGGGGAGAGACAGAGGTATCTCTTCACTAATTTCCTAATATGGCTCCCAAATCTAAAGTGATTGTTAATGTTGGAATAGTTTAAAGATTTTCAACCACTGACATTGAAAATGTAAATAGTAACACACCTGTTTTAGTGTGGAGTATATATTCTTCTCATTCAGCTGAGCTGCAGCAAGGTCTCCTCTGCTAGTGGACCCACCAGAAGTTGGGGCTTCACTCAAACTATATCCAACTGAGGAGCCATATGAACTGTAGCCAGTAGGAACCCCATAATGTGCCAAGCTTCCAGTTATAGCTGCAGATTTGTATAGAGGCGATGCAGGGAATTTAACCCCAGGTGATGGAGGCATATAAATGTTTGCAGTAGAAGGTTGTTGAGCAAAGCCACTTGGGCCTAAAAATTGTTGGGCAGTTTGAGGCATGTAAAATGGAGCGAGGTAAGGGTTGTACGGGAAATAATTAGAAGCATATGGCTGTCTAAGGAAAGGGAACACCTGATGAGATAATGTAGAGCTCGGTCCAATTCCAATGGGCTGAGAAACAGGTGGAGTTTGGCCTGATGTTGACTGTGCTTGAGAATTCCCACCCTGCATGTGAACAAAAATTCAAACATTTTGCATGGCAGAAATTCACTTGAATTAAGAAAGGAAGTGAGCAGAAGAAAGCTTGAATGCTTTTTCAGAAAAAATACAAAATCCCAAAAACAATGTGCACTATGTTTAAAACACATAGTGACTATTTTCGGACGACCCATGGTGAGCGTCGAGAGTTGCTTTGACTGATTGCTACTACACTCTAAAAGAGGAGCAGATAGTTTGAAGAGTCATTTTGCTTTATTCCATCATTATCCAAAGCCAAAGAATAGTGAATCTTTGGCTCCAACGGATATGTTGGAAATTACATAAGCAAACCATCAAATTTAAAATAAGGCAACCTCTCCACTCCCTTCCAGAAAATGTGAAAAGAACTGGAACAAATAAGGAGCAGTTTCAAGAGGACATCACTTCATCAAAATTCAAAACAACAACATGAGTATGGGAAAATATGAAGAGATCACTATGTGATTTAGGACATGGAAATACATGCAAACATAAGATTCTCATTACATTACTCTAAGAAAATTCCAATTCCCAAATGATATAGATCACGTAAATGAAGGTTTTGGTAGCATAAGACCAGGAAAATAGGACAGACTGACCGATAACCACACCACCATCATAATCAGCATTTTAATCCCAACTAGTTGATGTCGGTGGCATTGAACCTTTACTCTACAGTGTCGCTTAGTTCTATAAAATAAGTAATACTACACATGGTTTTCAAAAGCAACAGAGGCGTACCGCCTAGAGACGTTGAGGCACTGAAGCGTGCAATTTAAGCCTAAACAGAGACATTGGAGGCCTACGCCATAGAAATCTGAGGCACAACATAGGCATCCTAGGCAAGGCATGGGGCTTAACAGAGGCATAAGCCTCGGTTTTTCTTATAATTTTATTTGTGCAATGGGTTATTAATGAAGAGCTATTGGGCCTTTTGTTGGAAAAAAATATCGTGCCAGTTGTTACCCTTTTGGAACCTAGGTACTTCACTTCATCTTCTAAGCCAGAAGGCAACGAGCAAGAGCAAGTGACTCAGCCAGTCTCAAGTAAATCCTGCATCTTCTAATGGCTTGATCTTCAAATTTCTTCATCTTCAGAAAAGCATATATTTTTCCAAATCAAAAGTCCTATTAACAGTTACTTTAATAAGGTTACTTTATGACTTATTTCAGGTATTTTATATGCATCACGTGATTATGAATTATGCATTTTATTGTACCCACGGAGTATATTAATTTTTCCAAGTTGAATTGAGGCTTATGCCTCGTTCCGCCTTGAGGCTTATGCCTCAAAGCATGTTGCTCCTACGCCTTGAGGCTCGACTTGTCTTTCAAAACCTTTATGCTAAAGATTTATTCAAAAAGCATAGTGGCAATCTTTAACGCTAGATGCCGTGTTGCATCCTTCATAAGTCGGGATAATGAGATAAAAAATCTTACACCGCCATCATCATAGGTTATTTCCACGTACACGGACAATATCATGGAGGGATGAGCGGATGAGCAGAGGTAGCCGCCACATAGTCTATGTTAAAATCTCAAAATCCCATATTGTAATGTTACCATTATTTTAAAAGCTACAAATATGTATTTACATTTTAAGCAGTTAAAAAGATTTTTTATGCATTAGATTGCACATTCTAAAACAAAACCAAAGAGTAAAAAAACTCTAGGCTTACCATACTGCAAATGTAATGTCTTATTGTTGTTGATGCATGCGGCCAAATTTTCTTGTATGAATGCACTCAGATGTATGACGAAAACAATAAGAACCCAGTATAATCCCAAGAAAGTAGGGTCTAGGGACGGAGTGTGTATGCAGACCTTACCCCTACTTGATTGTAAGGAGGCTGTTTCCAAGAGACCCCAGAGCAACACAATAAACACATATCACGATAAAAAAGATGGTGAATGCCTCAGATGTGAGAACAAAATATGGGAACATGAATAAATTAGTACATATGCATGCCTGTTGATTGGATCTTTCAGATTGCACAAGATCTGAGCTTGACACTTGTGGTACAAGACCAAGGGTATAATTAGGACTTTGAATATGAGAAACTTGTGAACCTCCAAAAAGCGGAAGTACCTCCTGCTTTGCCTGTTCAAATGTTCTAGCTGCACCAGTAGTTGTGCTGTCTCCAACTAGTTCTGTATTATTAGGATGGATGACTTCCTGAGCAGTCCTAGGTGGTGCCTGATGACTGCACTCAGTTTCAAATATGAATATGAACAAAAACTGGAAGTATATGAAAGAGAAATAAGTAATCCACCTTGAATAAAGAAAATTTCAAAATGTCATTTCAATACCCAATACATAAGAAAAAATATATTGCGTCATAAAATACCTCATGGAAATCTCCGTGCAAGTTTGATCATGAATTGAAGCAGGTTTATCGTTGCTTGAGTTCATGACCTGCTCCATAGGAATCAAATTAGGAATCGAAGCAGGTTTACTGTTCGGTTTCAATATCTGCTCTATAGGAACTTCCAAACTCCCAAAAGTCAATCCAGACTTGATGGCTTCGGGTACTTGAAGATGACTAGGTAAAATAACAGGTTGATGAGCAGAAATCTTTAGCTTCTCTAATTTCATATCAAGTTGCTTAGGTAAATTGTCTTCAAATTCAAAGAGTGGAGGGGCTTCTGATGTAACATTATCAGCCTTAGATGCTAATACTGCATAATAATCATTTGAAGACAAGTTTATTTAACACGAAAAAAATGGGAAATGGAAAGGAAGATTACATCAAAAGTCAAAAACAAGATTCTATATTATCTTTTTAGAGATTGTCATATTAAATTATTTTACTTATGCAATAATACCCCAGATGAGCCAGCGGTCTTAATGGAAATAGCCTCTACCTTCCAAAGTAGGGATAAGGTCTACGTACATCTACGATCCCCAGACCCCATTCGTGGGATTCCACTCGGTTGTTTTTTGTTTAAACAATACCGGAATACCCATCTTAATAATGCCACATCAAAAACAGAATTTGTCTATTACTTTCAAAATGCCCAGTTTCTTTAGCGAAAAGTTTGAATGCTAGTATCACCAGCAAACACATTCCACGATAACATCAGGACCATGATTCCACTCAACAAATGGGGCATACTAATGATCCATCAATGTTTTTTACACATGTACAGACCATTAAAAAAGAACTCTTTGACTAACGAGTGCAATATTGCACTTGTTATGGTTTTTGTTTATTGGCTTATTTCAAATTGAGAATTACAACAAACCCAGTATAATCCCAACTCCGTTGGGGTCTGGGGTTCAAGATGTACGCAACCTTACCCTTGTAAAAATAGAGAGGTTTTTGTTAGACCCTTGAGGCATTGCTACATTTAGTGCCCACAACTGAGTGACTCTTTTAGCTTCATTGCAAAAAAAATATCCATTTGATTTAGTCCATTACTTACCCGAAGACAAAACATTATAAAAATCAGTCATTTAACTCTATTTGCAAAAAAAAGTCTCTTTTAGCTCCATTGTCAAATTCAGCATTGATTGTGACAATTAATACTATAAATCTAACCAATAGAAATATATTTAAACTGCATGTAAAATACATTAATTAATGCACCTTTATAAGTGCTTGCTCTAGTTAGAAAAAACCTTAAAAGAATCAAGTGATTCACAGGAACCAGAAGAGCCGTAACACCAATGTATGCAAGTGAGCTTTGCAAGTCTCAGATCAAGCAAATT